CAACGGGACGCGATCTGAAAAGGCTGTCCATTGGTTACGTTAAAAGAGTGATGATTTTGTCAGGCCACGACCTGTCCGTTGTTGGGACCATATTTGTAAACCGCACTGTTAAGTAAAAGATTGTCATAGGAGAGCCAGTGTCTGCTTTCGCCTGGATTCACTCTTACGAAGTCCCTCAGATGTTTGCGGATGAGTTGCATTTTAGGTGAGAAGTCGTCTTCGACCCATACTTTAGGCGATATCAGGTTTTTTAGCTTGTACGCCTTGCCCAGGATCTCACTCTTGCTTTTGTAGTTGAGGAATTTTATAATTATCGGGCGGTTAAATCCGGGTTACGGGGTCCAAGTCGGTGAGCGCGCTCGATTTCTTCGACACTTATGTTTAAGTGTGTAGAAAAAAACATTTGAGCCATCCTTTCTGTGCCATCCCATGTTTCAGGCTCTTGTTCGGGAAGAACCTTAACTATAAGATCATTCCTCCGTAGGCAATTGTTTAAGTCGTCAACTACATCGGCCAGACCCTCACTTTCACGTTGCCTTTCAGTGAAACTGTTCATCTCAATCTTCAAACATTTAACAGTCAATCTGAGGGACTTAACCTTCCCTGAGAGCTGGGTAACCTCGCATACATACATGGTAAATGATTTCATTGCAAATGGAAATATCCCTAATAGCCTCAACAATGCAAAAGTTAAGCCTCCTCACAAAGGAGGAGATCGGCAAAAAATAGAAAATCATCGGCCGATCTCAATCTTGTCATGTGTAAGTCAAATTTTAGAAAAAAAAAATCTTTTCCAGGTCACGAATCAGTTCCTCGATAAATTTGGCATCATATCGGACAATTAATACGGGTTTGTCAGCGGACGAGGAACAACACCATTACTTCAACATTTCGCAAATAAATTACAATATGCATTTGAAAAAAAAAAAGAAAAGATGTCACCTTGCGCCCTTTCTCTGTACATGTCCAAGGCATTTCACAATGTCAATCATGACATTCTGTTACAAAATCTTTACCGTCTTGGCTTCTGTTATCTTTTTCTGGCTATAATAAATGACTATTTAACTGGACGCACTCAACAAGTTTACATAGATCATACAAGGTCAATTCATATAGGTCGCGAAAGTGGAGCGAAAAAGCGGCCCAAAACCAATCGACAGCGTCATCACCCTGGAGGTCACGCTACCGCAGCGCGACTGTGTTTTGCGTGGCGAAACACTAAGCTTATAAAACATTAAAGATACATTTTCGGTGTTTAACATAGTTTACTTTAAATCAAAGCATTATTTATTCATAATGACTTAGTTTAAGCATGTTCAGTTGGGTGAATTTTTTAGGTTATGTTTAATATGTATTATGTTGTGCATACTCGTTGCGACCTCTACAACGTCGTTATTACGGGTGTTTACGCTGTCGGCAGAAGTTTGGAATCTTGATACACCTCGTGTTTGCATTGTTTGCGTTTGCCAGTGTGCCTGCATTTCTGTAGCTCCCGTCAAACTTTCGCTTTGCAATCGTTTAACGAATTCGTAGTCTTTTTAGTTTTCCCACGTATCCGAGTGCAGAACGGTTTTCACTGGTTGAAGCCTATTGCGCCGTTCTGCGGCTTTTGTCGTCGAGCGCCCGCCGGGTGCGTTCAACGTTCGTCGGGACAATGAGCCTGCCTTATGTAAGAGACGCTGCTCGGTAGCGCGATGCCCAACTCATGACTTCACCGCTGGCATCACACTCCATCGTTTTCCTGTGGACTTTGCAAGTGAAAACTTGTAGCAGCTGTGTCCGCTGCAATTATGTGTGATGTCCTGATGTCCGTTGTCTGGTGATGTCTGGTAAGCTCTTAACCTCTTCTATGGGCCCTCATGCATGCTCATTTAGTAATAGGCACCCGTTGATCGAGCTTTTTTTGGGCCCAGTCTTCGTTCCAAGCTGCGAGACGAAACTAGTCTCAGATATTAGTGGCGGCTTTGCGTGACCTCTGCTGAACGACTGCGTGACCACAAAAACCTAACAAGAAACAATGACTGAACATTTCAGTTTTAACGAACTTTCATGTTATGATGTGAATAACACTAAAGCATCCTTTCTGCTTGAAACGTGTTTGGTGTCGTCCCTCTAACATGCTAACGACTATCAAGTCTACTTGCTGTGGATTTCATGCTCGGGAATCTAGTAGTGTAATCGTCTGCGTTCTGAACCTATCTAACCTCACGTGCACAGAGGTGTGCTCCGCGCTCATGGCGTTCGCTGGACCCAAACGGGAGACCAGGTACAATGATGTCACTAGTTTATCGCTAACGTTATAGTGTAATCTTGTTTCTTTCTTAAATGTCCTCTAAAGGCATTTCGGCCTGTTCAGTTTAGCCCAGGGTATGTAAAGTAATACACTGCTTCACATTCAGGCGGAGGGTCTGGGTTCAGTTCTGCCGGAACATAAGCCTACAGAACAAGACACCACAGCAGCTGCGGGAACGGGCGGTATGGCCAATTGATCAGCGAGGGCGAGCCCACACCGGCCAGCAGCAGTATCACCGGTGGGCCAACATCATTACGGTGTCATACGTACCGCACTACGGAACAAGGTAAAAGCAATTGCATATTGGTGGAGAAGTGTTGCAGTCCATGTGTTTATATATTTCAGACTGTCGCATAGTAGCCTCCCTTCCTATGGTAGAGTGTGTTCCCAGTACTTGTGCTTTCTTGGGAAACATGCAAAACATGTATGACTATGTTTTTAATCTAGCTTGTCAGGTGCCGCAGGAATATCCCGAAACAATGCAATGACTGATGTTTTTGACAGATTTTTTATTTGCCTCGTCATTGCTTTGCAGATATGGGGAGCAGTCTCACGGCTCTGACCTGTAGCACGAAGACTAGCCCTCCAACCATAGTTCATGGTAAGTTTTGATAGTGTGCATTATTTAGGGCAGTCTTTGAAGTTTACTTTGTTGCGTAGTACTTGACCAGCTATAGCTGGTTCAGCTTTTTGCAACCACTCTGTCACTTTGTTTCCTTTGTCTTGTTTTTTGTAGTGGATCACACATACGCGATGGATGGACATGGTCTGCCGTCTGGAGGAAACGGTGTGTGGGCGCCCGAACTTTCCCCTATCGATTATGATGCTTCGATAACTTCGAGGTCTGCAGTTTCTCACCAACGTAGGTATCTGTCATGATGCACGAAGCTTACTTGTAGTTCCAAATTTTCTACAGTGGAGGAGCATTGCGTCTTTCATTGTTTCTCGAAACGTTTCATAATTGCTTTTGCTTTCCCCTTGCAGAGTCCTGTGCCACCCACACCGAGGGCAAGGGGAGCATGGACGTGTTGAGGGCTAAACTTCGACAGCTTCGGAAACAGAACAAAAGACTTCAGGAATGACTGCAGCGACGGCGTCATATGCTGACTGTCACTGAGATAGCTGAAAGTGTACGTAGCCTTGTCTCCAGCCGATGCTACCCTTGTGTAAGCTCAGCTGAAGATGTCCAATGCAAGCAGGCTCGGCAGACGGTGGTGCAGCCAGAACAAAGCCTTTGCCTTGGGCTTTCACTTTCACAGCCCTAAGGGTTTCCGGTACTCTAGGCAATTGTTGAGGCTCCCATCCATTAGGTCGTTACAGCTTTGGCTTCAGCGTGTTCCCCTAAGGGTTGGTTTTTACCCAGAAGTTTTCGAACTTGTCAAAAGACGTGCACCTTCTTTTTCACCACAAAACAAGCCATGTATAATTGTCTTTGACGAGATGCACGTCACGAAAGAGCTCTTGTACAACCCCTCTGTAGACAGGTTTGAAGGGCTCGAAGAAAGTAACACTGGAAGAGGCGATAACATCGCAAACAAAGCTCTTGAGTTTATGGCTTGTGGGACCGAGGGTGAAAGACGAGGCAGAGGCACGTGACAGGCGGTCGGCGGAGAAGACACGAGCTGGCTCGAGACAGAGCGTGCTGAGCGAGGCTGGAGCTGGGCAGGAACGACAGTGCCGGGCTGCCTGGCCTGGCCCATGGCGAAGCCCGGAGCGGCCCACCAGCGCGGTTCGAAGTCCGGACCGGTGGAAACGTCCAGCTCTGGCCATCTGGCCAAGGCCAGGATGATTCCGGGGTGATTCCGTAGCGAGATTCGGGCAGTGATAGCCCGGGACAGCCAGCCTACGTAGCGCTGGCGTGGGAAGGGTGATCCGCAGGCCTGGACACGGACTCCGACTGCGAGCTCTGATCGACGGGCGACAACAGGGTTTGGCGGGCCCGGACTGCCGGCTCTCGACGACGGGCAGCCGGGAGGTAGCGTAAACCTATTCGCTGTCTTTTCGTTGTGTTATGTCCCTCCCTTGGTGACGAGCGAAGTGCGTACCGATCGGGCGGCGATTATTAGTAGAGCGACCCCCACAAGGAAACCCACAACCTATACTTTAATTGCAGTGCCTGAGCATGCGAAACGGACTTTTTTACTTTATTTAAACTATGCTAGATTCATTTGGTCATCGCTGTAGACAGTTTTGGCAGGGCGTGTGATAATTTAGAGGTATGTACTCAAACAATCCGGTATGCTAGCGCGAGCATTGAATGCAACATACAAGATAAACTAAAGGCACTTTCTGTGGCCATAACGCAAGTGTTGTCTCATCTCCACAGCCTCTAGACTTGTTGCTTTGTTTTGCGTCTCACAGCTGCATCAAGGAGCTCAGTATTCTTTTTACGGGCGAACCAATGAAGCCTCACTCTTGCAAACAAAGCAAATAAATCATCATAGGCATCCTCACTGCAGAGGGTCAGCAGCTTTTCGACCTACTCATGAAGAGTGATACACAACGCCTTCCAAACGCCTTCTTTTAAAACAAGACTGTCAACTGACGCCACAAAAACCTTCTCACAAGCTTGAACGAAGGAAACAAAGCAAGGTGAAGGGACTGGGAGGCTTCCAAAGTCTCTTTCAGCCGTTCCTTTCACACTCAAATACAACAACACTTGGCTCTCATCAGAAAAAGTGGCATTCTTGATTTCCAATTCACATTGCTAAGTCACGTTTTGACATGTACGAAACTTGACAAACCTTGTTACCAGCCATCCAGCAAAGTAAACCAAGTTGTTAAGTGATAATAAAGAGGGATAGCTACAGGATGTGAGGTCAGCTGCACATTGTGGACGTGAGCTTCCTAGACTAAGTGAAGGTGAGGGAGCTGAGAGACCAACAGGAAGAGCCGCTAAAAGAGTTGTCATGTCCTCTTCGCAGTTGCTCTTGTTGGACAGTTTAAACAAGTTGCTAACTAGGAGATGCCTAAAGGCTGCTTGAAACTGCCAGCAAAAGAAATTGGCGTTCGCACCAGACTTTGACCTTATTACGGAGAATGTGCTTTCGAGTGCATCTTGGTTGAGATCGCGAGTCAGAAGGTATCTGAAAACATACTCAGATGTCAGGTGCTCACAAATCAGCATCACAGACCGAATGGTCAAGCAGAAACCGCGAATGCAAGCAGGCTTCCGTGGGCACCGAAGAACGTTAAGGCTTTTAAACATAAGAAGGCATTCCTTCAGAAACTCTTTGTGAACAGAGGCTTCGTGCATTGTAAGCAGAAATGCACTCTTCCCATGTTTCTGTGAGTTGTTCAAGCCATCAAAAAGACGATCCATTCTTTCAAACAACCGGGCCGTGTGGATAGCTTCAACTGGCAGTTGCTGAAAAGTTAACAAGGCAAACATTGCAGCAGCACAGTGATTACTGAATATTTGCGCTGCTAGCTTCACTGACGTCTTGGAGGCAAAAGTCAAATTAAAATGCTTTTCCCTGAGCCTGGGCATGGATCGGACTTCAAGCTGCTTGTCTTTTTCGTAGGCTTCCCTGTGGAAAGAGCTTCTCAGCGTGTGGTCCCCAACTTGAAAATTGTACCGTAAGCACTTCAGCGGATGCGGAACATCAAATAGAAAAAAACGAGGCTTCTCATTCACAGTTATGTAGTGATTCTCAGGGGTAATCAAGGCCATTAAAAATAGCAACATTTTGATTCCCTTGGTCACATACGACAGCTACTGGCTCCAGGCCGGGTTTCACAAGCAAATTGTGGCACTGGAATTGGAGGTCTCGCAAAATGTTGGCATGAGCAAAAAATAGCCAAGTGGCTGTTTCCATGGCGTGCGAATGCCTTTAGCCTGTGGGTTTCTTTTATGGTGGTCGCTCAACTAACAATCGCCTCCCGATCGGTAAGCACTTCGCTCGTCCCCCAGGGAGTAACATACTGCAACGAGAAGACAACGAATGGGTTTACTGTACCTCCCGGTTGCACTCTCAGAAATAGGGGGTGTACGGGCTACACGCCTTGTACCATATGTGTAAAACCCCAAAACTAAATTTCGACGTTCAGTCCAGTGATGTCGAGCTGACAATACCTTCTTTTACGAGGAGCTTGATAGATGTTGGATATAACATACTAAGTAGCTAATGTGCGTATCAAAGACTAAAAACAAAACAGAAAAAAAACACTGAAGTTTTGCAGCAGGGCCAAAAATCCTTGATTGTCTTACTGCAGTCTTTAATGAGTAGACTTAGCTATTATAATAAGTTGTAATTTTTTTTTGGGGGGTGTTACATATGGGACAAGGGGTGTACCTCCTACACCCCTTATTTCTGAGAGTGTGTCCGTCGTCGAGAGCCGGCAGTCCGGGCACGCCGGCCCTTGTTGTCGCCCGTCGATCAGAGCTCACAGTCGGAGTCGGTGTCCAGGTCTGCGGATCGCCCTTGCGCCCTTCCCACGCCAGCGCTGTGTAGGCTGGCTGTCCCAGGCTATCACTGCCAGAGTCTCGCTGCGGAACCACCCCGGGATTTTCATGGCCTAGGCCAGATGGACAGGGCCATTGCCAGGGCTCGCCGCTTACACCGGTCCGGACTTCAAACCTCGCTGGTGAACCGCTCCGGGGTTCGCCAGTGGCCAGGCCAGGCAGCCCGGCTCCGTCGTTCCTGCCCAGCTCCAGCCTCGCTCAGCACGCACTGTCTCGCACCATCTTTCACCCTCGGCTCCCACAAGGTACAGCCTGATGAACTTGAGTTTTCCCTGGATCAGTATCAAAATTTCAGTGTCACAGCATGCCAAACTGAATTTTTCATTCTGTTTAAGATATGTTAGATCCATTCGACCCTCGCTGTATAGTGCTAGATGACGTCGCTCACTTGAATGGTGGAACAGGGTGTCTACCAAATCACTTATTCCAAATTCTCCAATTTTCCCAAGGTTTTCCTGACTATTTCGATAAAATGTTGACCGTGGTTCAGGGAGTACTTAGTGGCCTGCGCTGCCTAGCGACGTGTCGGGCAACGTTATTCAGTGCAGCGGCACAAACGTGCAATCATCGGGCTTCGTTGCACGCTGCCGTTCCACTTCACTTATCATTCTTACTGACTTAGAACCTTTTTATGGTTTCCTTGATATTACCCTGTCCTTTCAATATAATCCGCATTACTTGAGAATTTTAGGTTTTCCAGGTTGGTAGACACCCTACACACCCTGTGCATGATTGAAGAGTGTGTGAGAACAAGCGTTGGTCACGATGTTTACTTGTGCAGTGTGACGACTTGAAACAAAGACCTGGATTAATGCTTGGTTGTCGGAGTTATACATAAGTATATCAAACTGCGATGAAAGGTAAATCAGTGAGTCGGTATGGTGCTAACAATTTGCAACAATGCGAATTAATAACCTTTTTCTAATGCTTTTTTTCCTGTCAATTTGTGGCAGTTTCTTGCGTACTAGCGCTCACATAGATAGTCAAGCTGTGGAGCACAATATGTTTGTGGCGAGCACAAGCGAGCACATGTACTATAAGGAAAGGTCTCAATTTTCAACCTCTTGAAGCAGTAATTCATGTGGACATTCAAATGCAAAAGACATGCATGGCCCCGCACTTCCACCTGTGATTGATATGGTTCATGCAAATGGCGGTAAGGCCTGGGGTTGGCTGATTGATAGGATCGAAGCGTGTATATATGCCTCATTTCCATGTTGATTAAATAGTTGCAGTCAGCGCTCGTGTCTGTCTTGTCTTTCTTTCTTTTGTCCTCGTCCAAAAAAGCGCTACCATGCCTTCGGCAACCCAAGACCAATACCAACTAGCCCAGCGTTCAGCTTTGATAAGGTTGAATCTAGTTACGAGCTCTCAACGTGAACAGGGCAAAATAAATGCGTAAACGTGCCTCCTCTTGAGAGTATCAAGTGCGTGCATATAGTTGTCCAAACTCATTTCACTATGTTTTCAACGCCTTATCTCTGTCTTTAAGTGTCCTGTGGTGGTGGTGTAAGTTCATATATAATGAACTGCGTAAACCAACTTGTGCCTTTTTGTCTTTCTTGGCAAACAAGCTATAGTTACCATAGCATGCCTTCATAGGCGTGCTGTAACATACTGCTTAGTTGAAAAAGATGGTAACTTATTGGTGGTTCCCAGAACTGATAAAAAACTGGTTCTTTTGCAAGAGGGATTACATGGGAGTGATTGATACAAACAAGGCTATGACGCGTGAAGCAAGGTATGAAGGGCGGTACTTGCGCAGGCATGTAGAACTTCTATAAAACGCATTTTAGTTTCACGCCACCGGCGAAAATTATTTAAATTTCGCGCCAAAAACAATCGTGACGTCACAATCATGAGGAAATTGCGTCATTTCGTGTTTCTTTTTAATGAAGCGTCACTTCTTGTACGTCACAGGCGACCATAACTAACGACAATGCCGCGCATCTCACAGTTGGCGCTGAGCCCCATGAGTGGCCATCTTTGCGCCTATGGGCTTCTATGGAAGCTTCGCTACCATCCATACATATACCTTGAATCATACTCGGAGGTCAAAGGTTTCTTTAAATTTCGGAGTTCCTCGGGGCTTGATTCTATCCCCGTTAGTTTTTAATGTGTCAGTGAATGATATGTCTTTTTCAATATGGAGCTGCAAGCTTTATCAGTATGACGATGGCAGTTTACTATTGTCACGCCATATGGAATATAATAGATCAATTTCCCTGCTGAAAAAACAACAAATAATCTCATGAGGTGTTTTAATCAAAATGCCTTAAAGGGATACTGAACCAAAGAATTTAGTGCCCATAATAAGTGGCGCACGTTCTTTCCACCAGCCAGCAGCCGCCGGTGTGCGCGAGCACACGCACCAAAAATGACGTCACAGACCTCCATTCGCGGTTGAGATGACAGTGAAATGCATGGGCTTCGGACTAAAGGAGAATAAAGACAGGCTTTTCATCTCTACAAGTGAAAGCTACGTGCTTGTTAGACCAATTCATCGCTTACTTTTTACACCAGGCACCACTGTGTAGATGAAAAACTTGTCTTTATTCTCCTTTGGTCCGAAGCCCATACATTTCACTGTCATCTCAACCACGAATGGAGGTCTGTGACGTCATTTTTGTTGCGTGTGCTCGCGCACACCGGCGGCTGCTGGCTCGTGGAAAGAACGTGCGCCACTTATTATGGACACCAAATTCCTTGGTTCAGTATCCCTTTAAGAATGAACAACAGATAAACGCATCTCGTATACTTCCATAATATTTTAAATCTCTTGTTCTTGATGCGACTCTATTCTTACATTCGTCATCTTTCAAATCGTGTCGTTTTATCCCTGCTTCTTATGTTGACGACGGAAAGAACCTAAATGTTGAATTCGATAGTGAACTCTCATAGAATTAACATCTAGGAAGTGTGTGCCAAAAGCTCAGACTTCTATCTAGTCTGTTTTAGTTAATAATTTTGATAATCAGTAAGCTTTTTGCAATCCTTGACGTCCGCCAAAGCTGGTAGAGTTCCCGCAAAGTTTCCCCTTATCTCAAACAGCATATTTTAATGGATTTTTGAAAACTTTCGCAGAAACACCCTGTATATCGGAAACGAAAGTGATCTGAAAATACTTTCAGACATCTCCTTACAATATTAACGCAAAATAGCTGAAAGACATATTAAAAGAAAAACGATTAAAACCTAAGGAACACAAATTTTCTTCGTTCTTTATTTTTACGATACTAAGTCGACCTGTTGGCGCAGAGTGCGTTATATGATTCATATGATGCATCTCTCGACATCAGCTTTCACCCTCAAAGGTGGCAAATGAATGTCGAACCGTTCGTACACCTCTCGTTCATGTTACCCTGATAAGTTCCGTTTTGACTTGCACTAAATTGGTTCTGGCACAGTTCAGCCTGAGAAACGCTGCCTTGTTTTGCGCTGCATCCGTCGAGGTTGTTCTGGCGTTCCGAGTCTCTGAGGTGGACACTGCCACCTTGAGCACCGCTGTTCGGTCCAGCGTTCGTAACGTGCGCAGCTTCGTTCGGTTCCTGGGGCCCGTTCTGGCGAATGGAAGCGGCGACCTGGGCGTCATATTTGGCCTTCATTCCGCCGAACATGAGGTTGTCCAGGACGGCGAAAGGACACTCGACGCACAGGTACACAATTGTGGCTAGGGCATACGACACCAGGACTGTCGAGATGTGATACTGCATCTGCAAAAAAGAAAATGACGGGTTCCTTGACTTGTTCTGCAAATTAACTGCCGCGACTGCAGGCGCCGCACATTCTGCTGTACACTAATCACACCCCGTTCGGGCATTTTTACGCATTTAGTGGAGAAATTATCTGGCTAAATTTAGCGGGTAAATTTATCCGAGAGCATGAGGAATTAGTTCAAAGTTTCCATTGTCAAGGATATTTTGAAGAAGTGTTGCCCCTCGATATGTGCAACACTTCTTCAAATTTATTGTCGTGATGAAATATCACGACCGCGACCTTCTCCTATCGTGTTTTTTTGTTTGTTTTCCAATGCAGGAATCAATTTTGTCTCCATAACGTGTTCTGTAGGACGCAGCCTTCAATGTCGTGCTCATCGTGATTCAGTGGCCGTGGACAACGTCTCCGCTTCCCGGGAACAACCACCGCCTCCTCCGCCTAGCGATAACGCGAAACTTGTGTGGCGGGGAGATGCAGCTCTCCCGTTGTTGCGATTGGCGTTTGGCTTCAAGATTCACAGACGGCATTCATTTCTCCTTCAATATGACAGTTAGTTAATGAAAGGAAACCAGCATTTATGCTGTTATCACGCTAAAAATTGCCTGACTCCATGAAACCAAATAACAGCACTATGCTCTCCGTAGGTTAACATCGCAATTTCCAGTGCCTGAACCATTGGTGAAGCCAGGTTGCGCCACAATTGTTTGATTACTTTATTACAAAGTTACTGTGTTTTTTGCTCACTCACAATATTATTACAAATATTTTAAGAGCCTTTTTAGGCCTCTACCTGTTCATAATCCAGATAAAACATTAGGAGACCCTACAACTCAAATGCCCCTCGTACTTCGCAAAGCTGATTAACGTTCAATCTGCGATATTTTGAGTTTCAGTATTTTTATTCGACAGTTATTTATATACCATATATTAGAACGTGGCCCCAAAAGTCCACAGAAATACACTTTCGAGATATTTTTCATTGGTTCTTTAGCAAACTTATGTTATAAGATACTTTCAAGCACGCAATATTAGAGTTGCCGGTGGTTGACTTCTTTACTGAGACGCCGAACCATTGGAATGGGCGAAAATAAACCCACACGAAGCCTGTATTGCTGATACTAAAGTTACGGTGTCTAGGAATGCAATCACCAGTTGTAAAGATGAGAATCAAGTACGCGAAACAGAACAAAATAAAGTAAAAGGTGAAGTTCAAAAATGGCTTCGTTGATGTGCAGATGCCCGAAAGGTGTTCATAAGTAGGGATGTCGCGAACCACCCCAGGTTCGATTTCGAAAGGTTTCGATATTTGCGAAGCGAACTGAGGTTCGATTTCGAAAAATTTCGATATTTTCGTGCCGAGCGAGGTTCGAATTCGAAAAATTCGCAACTTTCGATCACAGTGGAGTTTCGAATTCGAAAAGTTCGAAGCTTTCACGGTTTCTAAAATTTCGGATTCGAATATTTTGAATATTTTTTTACTTCAGGTTCGATAAATTCGAAGATTTCGAAATTCTTTGGAAATAAAATTTGAAAACTTCGAACGCTTCGAATTTTTATGGACATTAAGTTCGAACAATTCGAAGATTTCGAATTTCTTTCTGTATAAAGTTCGAAAAGTTCGAAGGTTTCGATTCTCTTTCAACGCTAAATTAAAAAAAAACAACAAAAAAACTTCGAAGATTTTGAATTTCTTTCTAGTCCAAGTTCGGTTTTCAAGTTCGTCCACAGTTTGTTTCAAATAACGTTTTCACGTCTCACTGGTTTTCACAAACTCAAGTTTAGAAAAGTTGGGGTGTGATATCTAGATTCTGCGAAGTTGGCCAGGCAATTAAATGAGACGACGAGTGTCCCGGATGTGCTGCAATATTTGCCAGTGCAGAGTGACGTGTGACCATAGATCAGTAATTGTGACCGCCAGCCCGGGGGGGGGGGGGGGGGTCTTTAACCTGCATCACGCAGTAGTGGTCACACGAACACCCTGTTTTACGAGACTCATCCAGTTCGAAACGGCCAGGTGCGAGCAGGAGGTTGAGGCTCAGAAAAACCTTGAAGCGACCTGGCAAACTACCTCGCCACCCCTTGCACGCTAGTAGTAATCCGATCGAATGCCGCCCGAGTGACGCTGGTATATAGTAAGTTAAGTTTGTAATTGTCCTGGAGGTTTATTTTCTGGGACGGAGGAATCGCCTCGCAAAAAGCCGACACAACTCGAGGTCAAGGAGCGTTCTACCATACAAGTGGCGTCGGAAGAGGAAAAACGGGGGGAAAGAGGGTAGCGGGGGGCTTCAGTTTCCTTCCCCCCCCCCCCTTTGCAGATATTTCGGACTGTTAAAGAAAACAATACGGGGAAAGAGGGCGTGGTCGAGCTCATTTTAATCTGAAATTATTTATGCATATGTATAGGTATACTGTCGCTCTTCACTGCATAAAAGATTGCGTAGATGGTCATTGTTAGAAACTCGTTGTCAGAAGGCACTACTCGTCACATGCTTAGTGGTTCGGAAGTTCAAATGTCTTTTCAACCTAAATACCTGTGCCAATAGTGAAAAAAAAAAAAAATAAATAAATGCGGGGATAAAAAGCTGGAGAGAAAAAAACTATCAAGAATTTCCCGGAAGTATTGTATTCTTGCATATTTAGAGAGAGGTTCAGAACTTCGAAAGAAGTTTCTTTTACCAAAATGCGTAGAAACACGTCCCAGGTACGTGAAGCGAAAAAAAAAAATGTTTTCATTTAATGACGTGCTGAACTTGAACACTATTAGAAATCTTCTCCCATGAGTTAATTTATTCCTTAACGTGGAAAAAACAATAAATACATTATTTTGTATTCTGCAGATGGCAATTATATGTACTGTCTGTGGTGTTAATTTAAATGCGATATCTCAAACAACTTAGACGAAAATAAATATCATCTTTAGGGCATAATTGCATGTAGATACATGTTTGGACATTTCTTCGAAACTCACGTTGAATAACAATAATCACATCTTAAGACGGCACTTACACATAGATCATTCTTAAAAAAGTATAACACCTCTACCATAAATAGCTTCGGCTACAGCGCGCTTCAAATCTGGCACAAACGATAGTCGTCAAAAACCCGTCGTCCTTCCTCGCCCCTTCGGGAATTTATTTCTTTAAAACTAAGCATGCCAGAACATTGAAACAAACGGTATTGTCTTTCGTAAGGAACGCGGTACCGCGTGTAAAAGTTCGAGAAAAAAAAATTACGAATGTACCTCACTATTCGAATTCAAATGAAACCGTCCGCCGGTCTTTCGAAGTTCGACGAACGTCGAACTTTTACCCTAAAAGTTCGAAGTTCGTCGAACTTCTGACTTTTCAGGAATCAAAAGTTCGAAAATTTTCGAATTGTCTTGATAAATAAGTTCGAAAGTTCGAAATTCATCGATTTTTTTGTCAGTTAAGTTCGGAAGTTCGACAAGCATCGAACTTTGCAGCGCAATAAGTTCGAAAGTTCGAAAAAGATCGAATTTTTTAGCGTAATAAGTTCGACGTCTCGAAAAGCGTCGAACTTCTTAGCATAACAAGTTCGAAAATTCGACTTCGGTAGAATTTTACGATGTAGACAATTCGAAAAATCGAAATCTTTCGAACCTTTCAAACCGCTTGAATCGATCATCGAAACTTCGATTCGAAAAAAGTTCGCGGCATCCCTATTCATAAGTGCGAGTGATGGAGAAGGTACAAGAGCCTACGCGCTTATAAAGTGAAAGCGTCGTTCATACTGATACCCTAACACAGGGGTCTGCAACCTTTCGCAAAGTCGGGCCGAGTCGTCACGAAGTCGACACGGGCGGGGCCGGGCGGCAAGTTTCGTAGGGGAAAAAGGAGGGGGGTGGAGACGAAAATAAGGCAAAAAAGGGAGTGAAGGCGTTCTCTGCCCAAGCATAGGGATGCCGGACAATGCCAATTGCAAGCGCTCCTTGTTTCTGATAACCCCATGCGAGGTCCTAACTGCCGTGTGGTTCTTGGACCTGTGGGAGGAAGCTGCAGGGGAGGGGGGGGGGGGGGGGTTCCTTTTGTAATGTCGTGCCGGGGACCGCATAAAACGGCCAGCGGGCCGTGGGTTGCCAACCCCTGCCCTAACATATAAGAGAAATTGGTTACTCCTTGTCATTTAATTATGAGGCCAAAATACGCGGCCTGATGGACGTCTTACGCTCGCGTTCCTTTATGGAGTGACTCAACCAAACACCACCGTAAATGGGGAACAGAAACTGATTGCCGCATCACTCATCGACTTCTCCCGCTATACTCCGGGGTAGGTGAGTTCATTTAATCATCAGCCATCACTTGCCACTTCCCTTGTCCCCGTGTCTACCTTTCCCGAGGCAGAAGGTAATTAATGAGTAGACGTATTGGGATGATGATTTAGTCCTTACGAATTAAAACTACCAGGTTCTTACGTCCCCCCAATATAATGACGTGTTACAAGTTACCACCTTTTTTCTAAAGCGTTACTTTTAACACTGATTGCATTGCACGAATACGCGTGCAAACAAATCGATTTAGAGAGCCAAGTTCGCGAGCCTACGCCTTTGATAGCGCGACACACGACTTGTGCACTGGCACAGGGCAACTTTTCCGCTAGATCTGCACTCAAACAATGGAGGTACCTCAAAAATGGGCTATAGCGTGTACCCGCAGCTTTTGTTGTAGTGGGGGAAAAAGGGTGCGTTCATCGGAGGAGCTAACACGCGGCGAACAATATGTGCGACGCGTCACTTCACACTTACCAGCAGCGCCGTTCACTTTAAAAAGGTGACAGGAATATCCATTGGTGGATTCTTAGGGAATGCTTTAGTATGACCCTTGGAAACACCACACACGCCCCCCTTAGGGTAACGCTAACGCTGACACCTTCACTTTTCTGGCTTTCTCTTTTGCTTCCTTTATTTGTTGCTACCGCTTTTTGGCCTAGTTTCAGGGTCAGTGTTAGCGTTTCCCAAAAAGGTAGATGTGTGGAGTTCCCCAAAGGCCATGCTAACAAATTTGCTAAGAATCCACCTCTGGATCTTACTGCAATGTTTTTCACCCCTTTTCTGTACACTGCCTGTCATAGTACTTGAACGCCTTGGATACGGTCATCCGTATTATTCGTGAAAAAAACCACATCGATACCACCCGTGGAAGAATCCGCACCCATATCACTGCTGGAGGGAACCGCATCCCTTGTTTTAACTACACAAACACACATCACAACGCACGCGCCGCTACTACACGTAAACCCAGAGCGAAGAACAACCGGCGACGGCAGAGCGGCAACTGGGTCCACCCGGATTCGACCGCGCCGCGGCACAGCACCTCCTAGATAACTAAGCCGTCGTGCTGAATGGGATGGCATCAGAGAAGGCCAACGCTGGGCAGAGATTGGACTCGACGATTGCGTCATCATGCGGCTCAAACTTGACTCGAACGAGCGCTGACACAACACTCGTTTCCCCAATCTGTGTCTAGCGTTGGCCTTCTCTGATTACGCCATCTCATTCAGCACTACAGTTCTGTTATTTAGGAGGTGTTGCGTGGCGCTTCCGCCTCTCTGGCTCCACGCCAGCTATGCACGTGACTTTGCCGAAAACGAAGGGGCTCGTTTTGATGAAAACCCGGTGGTGTCTGTCAGTTTATCAGTACCGGGGAAAGAGGGAGAGTTTGACGCGTGCTGACGTCAGCACTTCGAACCGATGGGAGCGTCGCACGTGTCACCTTCTCCCGCTCCTTCTCTCTTGCTCCCCGGCTCTCACAAACGAACGACAACGCCAGGTTTTCGTGAAAACGGGCGTTCTAATACTAACGCATTAATTAAAAGTTCCTGAGTTTATTTTCCTGCAGAGCACGGAGATAACAAATCATAGTGAACATAAGAAGTATAGCAGCGATTGACGAAACTCGAAATATGGCTAGAAAATAATATGCGCGCAGGGACAATGTATATGACGTTTCACGTGCTCTCTGTACCTGCGCACACTGCATCTTTCAGATCTTATCGTAATGCCAACTTTATCATTCACTGGGACTCTTCTTTTCCTCACGGCGATAGGCTGGCTCTCTCTCTCGCAGGAATATGGAGTCAGAAACTTTTTTTTACTGAGTAATGCGGGCATCAGCCATGCATGAAGCCGCATTCAGCCAAACCACCAAAATATTGTACTGTCACTATCACAGCTAGCTGTTTCAGAACCAAAACTGGCCTCGTTTTATTAGGGGCCCTCCATCACTCGACGATCTGTTCTGTGCTAGGTTCGTGTAAGTGAGATTTTCGCAGCTAACCATGACGTCAAGAGTACAGTTTGACCCTCCGAACCCCTGACCTGGAGAAAGGGCTGTTGAGGCTGGCGCTCCCGGCTGAGGAGGACGTTGCAGACGAGCAGCATAAAGTGGACGAGGTACACTGCAAAGGACAGGCGGCCGAGCGGGTAGAACAGGGGAAAAGCGAGCATCCTGTTGACCGGTCCACCGCGGCCCGTGACGCAGGCGTACATGACCCAGGAGACGCCGAAGGCCCAGGCGAACCGGTGCAGGCCGGCGTAAATTGCAGACTCGAGGAGTTCCGGCTGGCGGCCGATGTTCCAGCTGTAGACTCCGAACAGCGACGACGTGGCGAAAAGAACGGACACCGTCCACAAGAGCACCTCTGCCTTACGAGACAGCTTGTGCGCTTTGGCGGCCAGGCAGCCGAAGATGAGTCCAGTGAAGAGGGACGGGGCGTGTACGTACGACTTGGTGTAGACGTGCATCAGCGTGACGGTCAGACGACTGCGGTGCCCATAAGTGAAAGAACAGGCAGAAAACGTGTATCAATCGCACAGTGCATAAGCTCTTGACGTAGGTCAAACACGTTCTAAGTATTCGGATTACTTGTTGTCAATTACTTTTGACGGTTAGGGTGTAATTGTTCCAATTATTTTTTCTTGTTTCTATTAAAGGGAAGAAAGGCAAAAAAAAAAAAAAAAAAAAAGAAGCAACTCAGACGTTGTTTGACAAACCTCTGCCTCCCCCAGAGCAGCAAAGAGGGATCAGTTGCCAAGCGTGTTAACGCACCGCAGTTCTGAGCACGTGGAGCGAAAGCTCACGCTTCAGAACCCAGAGATACTGGATTCAATTTCCCAACTTTCACGATCTATAGGGGGCGCACTGGCGACTTTCAAAATGGCTGTCACCAGGATGATCCTCGTAGAACAGCCGTACGAGGCTGGGTCTGCGACGCGTAAGTTATTTTAGTTTTGAAATATACGAGCAGTATTAGAACTTTACTTTTTTTTTCACGTCAGGAAAGAAAGCATGGGTAAGCACCTTCATCATGTACCCGATCATCCAGGGGCTACCGAGCGCGATTATCGCACCGCGGTACCACCATCGCTGAAAGTTACGAATCCTCATGTCTGCCCGTTTCGAACTGAATGAACACCTTACCGACGTGCAGTCGTGTTTGACTGCTGAATTTGGTAAGTTGAAGACCCCAGGCTGGAAGCGCTACTAAACTGTATAAATTTCCCATCTACAGCGAAGGCGTCAGACGCCCACTGGAGCTGACTAATTTTCCACTGTCTAAAGAAACACACAATAATTACTCTATACGCATTCAAAGCATTCGAATTACTTGTGGTTAATTACTCATAACAATCAAGGTGTAATTGTTGAAATTCAAGTTTTTTTATTCTCTCAATTTGGAGAGGGTAGGCAGATCACAAAATGAGCTCAGACGTTGCTTCACGTGCCTGTTTTCCCCACTGCAGCAGAGGCAACAACATTATTTTGCACAGTATTCGAAATAGTAATACAAACACACACATAAATATAAAGTAGTATATAGGTGTTACAAAAAAAGAACGAACAACAAAGCAATCGATTAATTCAGATTTTCATTATTCGTATCCGTTATGGGGGTCTCCTGAACAAGCATTAAACGCACCACTTCGCCTGGTTTTGCTCAGAATAACTGTATTTTGTACTTCTCCTACAATGATATTGCATGGGTCATTTCATTACTTCTTACAATAGTTAACGCAATCTTAATTGGATCTTTAGAGGAACGCGTCTAAAAAAGTACCCCTGAAAGCAATGCCCCTCACTGTACGAACACGAACGCAAGGCCTAGGTAATTGTCTGGTCAATCAACAAAGATATATATTTGCATTAAACGTATGGTGGTTGAGAAAAGACGATAATTAAAAATAATACGTTTGCCACCAATAGCAGCACGGACCTCAGAAAGCAACAAGATATTAACGGATACTTCTAAAGGAAGGTCGATAATATTTTTTGGTATCATGTAACCAAGTGGTGCACTGGAATAATCATGAAGCGTGATTAATTATAATTACAATGAATTTTTTGGTAACGTGTACAGGACTGGCAAGGTTCACTGTTACAAAAGGAAGATGCAGGTCATAGGAATCGGTCCTTCCTATCAATTATCATCTAAAGTAAGTCTTGTTTAACTCTCGGAAGAGTGGCACAAAGAAATTTCCTTTCGCACTGAGCACTAAATCAGCCTTTGCTTTCCTACAATTTTTAAAAACAAAATATATATTTTAAATTGTTCTTGTAAAAATGATTTTAATACAATTTATTTGCGGAAACATGCGCAAAAATCCAGCGCAACAAAACCTTTGCTTTTTATTTTTGGCGAGAGGCAACACTTTAAATGTGGGACATCAATATTTGTAAGTATCACCTAGACCGGCGTAAAATCAATGTTCAGGGAATTGTTTCGACTCACTACGAATTTAAAGTCTACTCTAAGACAAGTTCTTCCTTATCTTACTGTTTTGTTCCGACGTTTACTGCCTAGATGTTTTTGATCAAGAAAGTATTTTATATTATTGGACGTCTCCTCAAGAAATATATTTATTATGTGCGCACAGCAGACCTGCAGGCTAAATATTTTGTTTTACATTCAAAAGCATTGCCTCGCCGAGGATAGAAGGAAACAATAAACGCATAGAACAACGCATTTGCATAACAGAAGAACCGTAACCACCTTCTATGCTCGCATTCAACTTTTTCGTGCTACGTTATCATGGCTAGCATAGCTTTCACAGTGCTCCAACACTAAAGAGTTTTAGAAGATCGTTCCGACACCTCCGATAACGATACAAGAGAGCTATATATTGCGTGCGCAGAGGGGTGGGCGGAGTATCCAGTATCATTATCAGAGTTATGGGCAGGATCTACTAAGACTCATTATTCTCAAAAATGCAGGTCAAAGATGCACTAGTGCGGGGCTTCGTGTGACGCGAAAGCGAGTGCGAATAGGACGCAAGAAACAGCCACATGCTCTCACAGAAATGGGGGACTGCGGCAGTGTGCAAGCTTCGCTAACCTTGACAACGAATCACACGAGATGTTTCAGTGGTGCCCTCTCATGGATTTCATCCGAGACGTTACGACCAGGACGTGGCTACCGAGTTTCTTGGCGCTCGAAGCTCTCCTCCGGCCATTTCATTCGTCGGGAGAGACTGACACAGAGAAAAAAAAGATTCAAGGTTCTTCGCGAAGAGCGGTGGTGCAAGCTACAGGGCCGGAATAGTCATCATCGAGCTCGCTTGGCTAGCTGCCTGGATTACAAGGCGCTCGTTCGCCCGAATTATACTCGTTGCTTCTCACCACAACGCACATTACTTTTCCAAGAAAGGATGAAATCTGAGGGTGCTCTTTTAAAACCAAGATAAATGTAAAATAAATGCACGCCTGATTGTTTTCAGCCCGACTGCATGTCCAACCATTTCTCTAAAAAAATCTCTCAATAAAATTCCTACCCCCCCCCCCCCCCCAAAAAAAAAATAATAATAATAATTTTTTTTTTATTGTGAGACTTAGCAGACGAAACGCAACGCTCATTATTCCCCCGCAGATCGGTTTACTGAATAGAAGGAAATAAGGTTTCGAATTATTTCGTGTAGTCATTCCCTTGAGACTTCAAAATATATAATTTCATTGTCGATATATTATTTATTTAATTTTAGCCATCGGAAAATTTCAGTTTTGTCTCTTTTCGCGTTTGTCTCTCGTATTCCTCGGACGCCGTCTTGCCACGACTTTGCCATCGGCAGGGCTTTGACGGCTTCGGCCTTTTCGCCGCAGTGAAATTTTTTACGACGATAGAGAGTTTTAGAATAGGGGTCCCCAAAGTTTGGAAGCCCCCCAAAAAGTGGGACTCACCACTGCGCATGCGCAGAACCCAGTCTCCGTTTGGGGTTTTGGGTTGGCGCTCGTGCACAACGCAGAATTCGAGAAATAGCGTGCGGCCCCTGTTGGATCGGGGCCGGGTTGCGTCGGCAAACATGGCGGCGCCCTTTCCGCTCACTTCTGAGCAAATTCGTCATGGTTGCTGTATCATTAGCGAATTTCATTGGCAATGAACGGTGTAACTGGCTTTCGCTTTGCTTTATCTCGCTCAGGCTCACCCCAATTTAAAGATCGTCCCTGATTCTGGCCGTTCGTGAGCCTAAAGAGACGCGGTAACCGTTGACATGGTAACGTATTGCAACTGCATGGCGTACGTCACTACCGAAATTATTAGTAGCGAGGGACAACTTCGAGGGGATGGGGCCTAAAAACTGCGGTGAACTCCTGTTCATTACGTTCCTAAATCAACCCCGTCAAAGTTGAGTCTGACTTTGCTCTTATTAGGGTCGATGAAAGCAGAACTCATCCTACTATACTCCGTTTCACATTCTGTTGTACAGCAGCGAAGGCTGGAAGCCCGACTGATAGCTTTGACAGCTGCCCTTACTGCACGAGAGCATGTGCCGCCGAAATTTGCCCCAGAGCAAGGTGCTCGCGCTTATAGCCTTCCTGCAGTACAACATAAGATGAAATGGAGTATAGAGGCGTCATAGCGAGCTTTTTACCAATAGACCTTTTCTGTGTACTCTCGTCCCCAGCCACCGAATAGGCGTATCCGGTATGGGCGATGAAAAAATAATCCAACGTTTCAACCTGTAAATAGTAAAAAAATAGAGGGGAGGCAAAACGAGAAAGTGTGACGGTTACGCTTATATCCTAAATGCCTTCTATTGGCGTGGCAAAGGCAAAACAATGTTTTCGCCCATACTGGAAGTGACGTCAATTCAAGATGGCGGCGCACTTGAAGAAAAAATCTATAGTGGAAGGCCGATGACAGCGACGTATTTGTTCGCGCACGTCACCAATAGAAGCCGCGTTTTCGCAAAAGCTGCGTGAGGAAAAGCACTACCAGAGCCTGCGCACGAGCTGAGTGGCAGTTGAATCGCGTCTCAACGTGCTCGCGCGCTCCAGACTTTCCAGTAGTAAGGCAAAGACGAACTATCTGTACCGACAAAATGAGAGAGAGGAGGATACGAGAGCGCGCGGAAACGTCAGAACGCCGAGCTGTGGTTCCAATCATTAGTGGGTAGACCTAAAGCTAGAGTTGCATTTGTCTCCACAGAGTTCGTCGAATGCTTTAGAACGCAAAACGCCGGCGTCGGGCGTATGACTTTCGCATTCGAGCGCGTTCGACAAGCGCAGTGGAGACAAAGGCAGCCTTTCTCTGCACTGCACTTGTTGAACGAGTTAGAGCGCGTGTGGAGGCCGCGGGGTCCTACCACGTTATTTAAAGTGAGGACATGGAAACAGACGACGAACGACGTGTCTGCCTGTCATGGTGGCTTCAGAGCATTCTTTTCACGAGCTCTCCGAGGCGCGTGCATGTGCTGCCTCAAGCCATCTTTTTTTTATTTTGATGAGAAAGATGGATCTGTGGGTGCGTGACACCCCACATGCGGATCGCCAAGTGTCCAGCTTAGAGCCCAAGAGTTGTGGCACCGTGACGTCGCAAGTTGTGATCCAAGCCACCTATCATCAGTAGCGGCAAGTTTGATGGTGTGTGTAAGAAACACGGTGGAGGCTAGGAGCAATCGCATTCTTACACCAACACCGTTAAAGTTGACAGTCTAACACTGCTCTTGCGCCAGTCGTTTGGCCAACTGTGGAAAGTGGGGTGCCTAAATGGCTGTCTGTCTCAAGGTGAAGACATCCATTGTTGCCCTGAATGTGCCAGCGTGTGACGCTCTTGCGCACTCGGTGCGTGGCTTGGGCGGTAAAATGGCGTCTATGCATTAGCCAAAGCTACGCGCTCGAGCTGATTGACACTAGATTGAGCGCACTTTAAAATGCATAAAACAAATGATTGGGCGGAAAAATGGCTGAGATGTCTCCACTCAAGCAAAAGCGCGCGTGTGTATGAAGGCACTCTAGCGGAAAGCCGACCAGAGCGACGCCTTTGGTCGGGCATGTTGAAAGTTAAGAAAAACAGTACATGCTCCTGTTACACAGCCCTCTACTTTTTCCACTTAGAGCAGAGCAAACGTTGGAAAAAAGGCGAGTTTCTTCTCTTCTCACCTTCTCTCCAGCGTTAGCTCTGCTAAAGTCGAAAGCGTCGAAGATTTTGTGGGACGAGCTTTTTCTGCTTTTATTAAAAGGGCGGTGCAACAAATTGGGGGGAAGGTCTCTCCTTTTACACAAACTTACTGGCATAAGTGGGACACAAGCACACTCGCACGCAACGCCACTGACCAAGCAGCTTCTTTCGGACGTCTTCTTTTAGTCTGTCCTTCGCAAAACTTGATGACTTAGTTGTGGGGATCGCATTGTTGTCGTCGTCAACAATTCAATCTCCAGGTTTTTGGCATCAAACGTTGTGATATCCGCGGCGAGGATAATGAAATGCGACTCATACAGTGGACAGGAGCACTGTGTGAGCATTTGTTTTGTGCTCGGTACCACCAATGTCTCGACGTGGATTTCGGTTAGTGCCTCGGGCCCAATCTCCGCGACGACGGAAATAGCCGAACGTTAACAATGGGTAAAACTCAACGCGTGCCCTAGCCAGTTTGTGGTTATTATAAACATCAGCCTCGGTCCATTTACCCGCACCTCCTGCACCGGTGCAGAAAAGTGCAGGGCAGTGTACTTCCGGTATGAGTATTGAGATATACGACCGGTAGTACACCGCGCTACACATTTCTGTACCGGTGCAAGAGGTGCAGGTAAACCGAACTAAGTTATTGGCGACTATACTTAGTCTCACCTAGTGCCACTAAATAAGCTACGCTTCAGAGTAAAGACACTTGGCCATATTGTGGCTTAAAATCATGGTTGCCAGTTATCTGAAGCTTTATCTGAAATCACAGGAAACGCTTTTCCGTCCTCCACAAATGTTTAAACAGTTCGCGACAAAGCAAAGCATTATTACATGAGCTTTCTAACACCGAATCTAATGCTGAAGAAGTCGCACTTTTGAATCATGACGATCGGCCATTGCGTCAGTTCTGCACAAGCACCAAAATGGCGGCGCCCACAACAATGTCGCGGGGAACAGAGTGCCGATACTCCAAGCGCAGCTCATTTAGCGGCTCTAGTCTTACTTTAGCATGGAACACGGTGGAAAAAATGTGTTTTCTTTCACCGTGGCATGGACTAACAGCGAAAGCAATGCAAGCGCGAGCGGCTAGCCTTGACTTCCTAGACTGGAGCACTCGCTGGACGCGTCGCTCGTGCATCCGTCGAGTCTTTATCCAAAGCAACTAATTCGCGCTTTTAGCATGCGCGGCTAACAATAGTCTATGCTAGGGTGAGACTAGTTGGGTGGTGTGCGTGTTTATACAGCTTATAACTTGGTCTACCTCAACGGGCGACGAGTCTCCCAGCTGTAGATGAGCAATTTAGCCAGTGCAGTACAACCGCTAGCCTGGGGTTTTTAACGTGCACCACGCAGTAGTGAAACACGACCGCTCACCGGTACGATGCTCATCCAGATCGAAACGGGCAGCGGTGGGAATTGAGCCCAGTATCATGGGCTCTGCAGTGCGAGCTTTCGCCCCACGTGCTCCGAGCTGGTGCGTGCTAGCCCACTCTAAACCCCTGTCATGTTTCAAAAGTAGCGCATTTTGCGTTGATGCATGAGGCACGTGCAACGTGCAGCCCTTGGGAAAATCATGGCGGCACAGCGCAGCAGTGAGCTAGATTTCAGACGCCATATTCTTCCCCGAAGGGGCGCGCGGCACGTGGCTCGAGCATTTCCACAACAATGAATGGCGCCGCTTTTCCCAGGATAGAGGGGCTTGAGACCAATCGGTCACCGAATGCCCCCTGCTAAGGTGAGACGAGGTCACGGTGTAAGATATCTTACACCGTGGACGAGGTATAATCGCCTCCAGATCACGTGGTCGTTTGTTCTGGCTGCAATTTGAGGGGTTAATGCTTTGTCGTTTTTCTCGAATGCTTTCTGCGACTGCCATGGCGTGGAGAAAATATTTAACGCGTGTTTTATAGTTTACGTATGTTTTATAATAATAATAATAGGAATATGTTTATTCAGATTCTGCGTCAAGGCCGAGGAAGCAAAAGGCGATCTAACGCCGCCTCACGTCAAGCAAGTGTTACAATTGGTATTTAATGCAATTACAAAAAACGGTGCATCGCCCCTCTAATCTGCAACAGCCTTTTGGCGACGAGATGTTTTGGTGGCATCCCATTATGGTTTCTATCCCTGACATCACAATTAATATTATTAGTATCTAGCGAGAGGCTCGGTGGTGCGTAAAACAACGAAGTGGAAGCGCAGCCATCATTTTCAACGCCGCGAAAGCGCAGAGTCTCACATTGCTCTTATTTCCGTCGATACGAACAGAAATATTTTTACCCAAGACGTCCAAGTGAGCGTTTGGCCAATCATGAATGACCGATTACAGCGACGCTTTTGGTCGCGCACGTCTCCAATAGCTCACGCCGTGTATAGACGCTTTGCACACGCGCCAGATTGAGCCGCCATAGCCGACCTTCTCCTGTTTTACCGAGATGCCGAGCCACCGAAGCGGGCGTTTATGAGCCTCCACAGAGGTCTATGTTGGGGAAAAGGACGCAGTAGCACCTAAAGTCGCAATAACCTGTTCTACTGTGGCAATGACGACGTGAAGCGAACGGAATAAGAGGAAACAAAAACTGAAGGTCGCTAAGGCGGCGCCCATGCACAGCTGCCTGAAAGCGTCTATAGATCTATTTTCTGGTCATCAAGGTTTATTCAAGAAGGCAGCATACCTGAAGTCAGTTGTGAGGATCAAGGGATGGGGAAAATAGCGGTTCACGTAAGTTAGAACACCTGCAGCGATGCAGGTCGCAGCAACGAGGGTAGCCATGATGCCAAGGCCTACCTTTGGCCACCTGCGGGTCAGAAAAATAATGTGGGGAGAGATTGCACTCCTTATTGTGCTACGTGTTTATTTATCTATTACATATAGCGTGCCAAGCAGGAAGTGCTTCAAAAAAAAAAAAAAAAAAAAGACAGAAAACCCATACAAGACCACAGAACAAGTCTGCAGTTAGTAATATATAAGCGAAATTAAATTAATAGTCCAAATTATATACAAGTGATTACCGTCATTGCACAAAGTACACAAGTAGAAATACGTGTAAAATAATCGCCACAGGACCAACACCTACACTGGGTAAACTGCAAGGTTATTGCGTGATCACATTGAAATGTCATATGCGCATTTGTCCTCACCTAGGTGTGACCAGAGCAAGAATAATGGTGCTCACGATGGCCAGTTGGAAGTCCGTGGAGATGTACCAGTAGTGCGCCATGCACTGCATGCCAAAATATCAATTTAGTTATAGGTGTTTCTAAGAACTTCGCATATACACTCATCGGTATAGGTTAATGAACACCCACATCCTGCAGACTCAAAACAGATTTTTTTCCCCTGTAGTGACCACTTTATATTGAGTTGAGTAGCATTTTGCTTACTGTATATGAGAAACAGCTATATTAAGAGCTATATTTACCTGTTGCTTTTATGGAAGCTTTCTTTTGTTATTAAGACGACGATTTGTGTTATGGAGACGTATAGGGTGTTTGGGGTAAAAAGAACCGTGTTTTTCTCCCCGAACAAATCAACTACGTATTTCCGAAGGCTTAATCGACTCCGATATGTAGTGCATAGTTGTTCCGATAGGATTTTCAAGGTTCGGACTGTACTATTATTTTATTCAAATTATACGATAGGCGATGTTTTGAAAATAATATTGAGAAATCAGGGTTAGTTCTTGGTAGCTGACACGATTCACATCTATGTATTTGCAGGCTTTGTTGTCCTCCATTTTCTCATTAAAATTTTTAATGCGTTAGCATTAGTACCCACATGACATAGAAAGGAAACACGCCGCGTAGAGAGGAGGAGAGTAGTGGAGGAGAAAAGCGAGAGGGAGGCGATGTCACGGGGCGGACGCTAATACGCGTGCGCGGGAAACCGGTGAAGAGCGAAAGCAGCATCAAGCACGGAACACATGTGCGGTGAAACTGGGCGCCACGCGGCGTTCGCCGCTCGCCGCCGGGCGCACCACGGGCGCACCGCGCAGCTTTGTACATATTGACAAGATCCGAACGACGTGGCGCCGCACGGAAGTGACGTAGGGACGTCAGCACCGGTTGCTATGGGTACTGCCGCGCGCTGCCGCACGGAACCCCCTGTGACCGCTCATGTGTTTCATTCTTAAGCGTGCAAGACGGGCGAAAGAGGAAGAGGAGCAGAAGCACCGCCTAGCTCGGCTAACTGAAATGCGGCGCAAGAAGCGGCAAGCCGACGCGGGTCTGCGTGCATTAAGGCCGGTTCACACATGCAGCGAAGCGCTAATGTAGCGCTTCTCACGTGTCGTTCGCTACTTATTGTCTGCCATGAACAACAGTATTGACGGTGCGATACAAAGTTGGTGAACGCTCCCGTCAGCACGCGCTTAGCGCGAAGTCAGCGCTACGCTTGTAGCGTTCCGCTACATGTGTGAACAGGCCTTTAGAAGCTGGGGCGAAGCTGGCTAGGCGAGTCCGCTTCGCGAGAAAGAATTAAAGGAAGATCCATTGGTGGATCCTTAAGCAACGCGTTAGAATGACCCTTGGGAAACACCAGGCACGGCCCCCTTCTGGAAACGCGAACACTGACCCCGTAACGAAGTCAAAAAGAGGAAGCAAAAGATAAAGGAAGGAACAGAGAAAGCCGAAACAGAAACGTAAAGGGGTCAGCGTTAGCGTTTCTCAAAAGGGTGTGTGTGTGTGTGTGGCGTTTCCCAAGGGCCATACTTACGCATTTCCTAAAAACCTACCAATGGATCTCCCTTTATATAAAAAAAACAAAACAAAAAATCCCTCACAACTTTTGAATCAGAAAATGGTAAGTTCTCGAACTTCGACATCTGGTCGTACCGTTACATTTGGGGTTAGTCTCAACGTTCGGGGTTGCGTATCTTTTCTTCTTTCGGGTAAGGAAGATATGGTTCTCTTTCCTTTCAAACATCTCGTATGGTTTCATAATTGACCGAGAGTTTTTGTTTTACCAGGTCTTCGGGTCCCTCCATATAATTGTGAGTCATGGTGAGGATCCTCCACCAGTGGTCGGCGCATTTCCGATCAATGATAGGCCAATACTGCCCCATCGCTGGTCCGCTCGTGACGAGGGGAATCATGTACATGAATCCAAAAACAGCCATCATGGAAGGGACAAGCCTGCGCGAAGGGACAGCGAAAGAAAAACTTGGGGAATGTGCACGTGTGAAGATGGAGGGAATGCATGATGGTACAGTTACAATCCTATTTAACTGTAACAATGTATAAGCTTCTTTGCTTAATTTTTGTTTTTGTGCCGGTAGACAGTTTCGGGTTACTCTAGGTTTTACAAACCTCATTTATCTTGATTCATCAACGCGACGCCTTCGCTTTTAACTACGTCCTCGGAGCTGTCATAGATTATCTATAGTTTGTTTTCCGCTAAAATATGTTAGCGCGATTCTGACCGTGCGTCCAGCGCTATTTCCACTATTATCTTGTTGCTTGTTATAGCTGCATTTAGTGTTGAGATGTCGAGGATATGGATATTAACAAGAAAGCAACGTTGGTTTTGAGCGAATTGACTTTGCCTGAAGCAGTAGTGCTCCCCTGTCAACTGCAGAACCGCAGCACGACCATCTTCATTACGCGCCAACTCCAAACCCAAAAGTTTTAGAAACCATGGTCGTTGATGTTTCTGTGGAATAAAAAAAACCCTCGGGACGTACGCAGCGTTTTCTTGTTCTCAGTGATGTACATTTATCGACAGCCGCAATCAGCGTTGCCTTTGCTCAGCCGATCGTCGCTCGCTTTATATAACATACATATAACATTTCCGACGAATGCACTTCAATTGCTCTCAACTGGCACTTTGATCACTGCATTGGAGCCTGCTACTACTAGCGCTAACATGATTGAACTCGTCTTATGCAATCACACATTTTCGTATTGCGCATATCAGCGCATTTATAGTCAATTTCTTGCAATTAAATGGCCCTGAAATAGGGAGCATTCTATGGTCATCGAACAGGGCATGGCGAGAGCTACAAGCATAATATTATCACTCCACAACCAATCAGATTGCTGCATTCGTCGATAACAACGGGGAAAAAAAAGAAAAAAAAGATTCATGGAACAAGAAGGAAGTGTTATACCGGGTGTTTCAGCGAAGATTTACAAAAATTCATAAAATTAGTGTATTAGGGGTAAAAAAGATAATTTTCTTGGGACTGCATTACTCGTGGTGGTGGACGTGCGAAAATTTGTGATAGTTACTAATTTATTCGCTCATCATCTAAAGATGACTAATTAACTTTTCAGTTAGTGAAAATAAACATGGCTCCAATTGGAAACTTGCTGAGCGCCATTGAAATCCACTAAATCAGTAATTTTCAGGAAGACTTTGAGCGCATGGGAGCTTCATCGCGCCGCACGCGCAGAGCGGGCGAAGATAGAGGTGATCTTTCAGCGCACTAAGAGGCCGAATGCCGAAGCTTGGGGAGCGCCGGGCGGAGGGCGCGAACACATCTGAGTAGGCTACGCACCCTCGTCACTATAGGCCCACTTCCAGGTGGCGCAGCCTGTACCGCGAGCCACGCGCTCCTCTGTTCCCACTTTTCCCCGATAGTACGTGCGCCACGACTTTTAACTATAGCGCACTACTACGCTTCCCACGTACTCAAAGTCTTTCTGATAATTACTGATTCAGTGGTTTTCGATGACGCTTAGCAAGTTTCTAATTGGAAATATAGGCCCATTTTAACTAATTAAGAAGTTAATTGGTCGTTTTTATTTAATTATCGAAGTAATTAGTAAGTATCGCTCATTTTCTTGCGTACGCCATCACGAGTGGTGAGGTCCAGAGAAAAGTATCTTTTTGAATGGAATACACAAATTTTAGGAATTTTTGTCTTTCTTCGCTGAAACAGCCGGTATATATTACTCCACGTCCTGGCTTTTCTGAAATTTTAGTGAAATTACGTTTCCTGAAATGTAAGTGACACTGAAATGTAAGTGACAAACAGGGCGTAGCTTATTATGTTAATTCGTTTTGTTTCGTAATTTGTTATCTGGCCTTCCTATGGGCTGATGCCGCTCTCTTATTAGCGGAAGAGCGATACTAAGATGTTCTGAATTGGCGACGCCCTGTGTTTAGTCAGCTGTCGGTAACTATAAAAAACAACAGGACATTCCCTTAAAGAAGAAAAGAAAGAGGGCTTATTCTAATAATAACCTGCAAACTCTTCTCTTGCCCCTCTCCTCGCTCTTAAGATCAAGTGTAAAATTTCGGAGTCAATTTCTCCAGAACCCTAATTTGTTTTTTTCCTGTTTCTAATAATTTGGGCAATTATGTGTTTTAATTCGTACATTTTAGGCTTTAACTTTAAGCTACAAAATTCTGTAAGCCCTTTTCCTACGCAAAGAATGCACTATGCGCGATAACACGAGCAAACTTTATGTGAAAAAAAAAATTAAGGAAGGTTATAAAATAGGCATCACTCACCTGACGTAGCGTCTGAATAGGGCGATAACAACGAGTAGGAATCCGTTGAACTTGACTTTTGGTGCCTTGACAACGAGGTAGCCTGACAAAAATCCCCTGAAAATGCGCACAAAAACGAGGCCACACAATCCAAAATTCGCCACACAAAAAGATGGCTGATAGATAAATACTATTACCGTGAGTATATATGCTATATTCCAATCTAAAAATTCAGGTAAACGTGTGTCACAATGACATTTAAAAGTTTTTTATATGGGGTGTTTCAAGTCACAAGGCTCGATCTAGAATAGACCGTACAAATCGACGCCTGCAGGTAGAAATCTAAGCTATTAGTCAAGAGTGTATTTCACAAGTCGGTTTTTTCTTGTAAAATTACAAAGCGTAGCTCCATTTCTGTAAAAAGTTGGGCCAATAAACTTGCCAGGTTCAACGGGGGGCGGCAACGCAGACGACCAAGTCGAGTGACGGGGTGCGTTTGGCACTCGTATTGATAGATGGCGCTACCTCTTTAACGTGGTTTATTAAAATGAACATAATCTTTTTGTAATGTACCTTTGGTTTAGGAATAAATGCGGACAAAAAATCAAAACTTAAAGTTAAAAAAAGCGTTTGAAATGACAGCGCCTTTGCTGCCAATATATTTCGTCTGCGTGTCGTCTGCTTTCTCTCGCTTGTTGCAACGTTACTAGAACCCTCAGTTGGGAAACTCACCGTTGAAACCTGGGCCGCTGGCGTCCACCGAGACCGAGCTAAATACGACAACAACAAACTCTGTATAATTTGACTTAACTATGGTCACCTTGAGCTTTTATAACGCATGTTTTGGCGTAAAAAACAACGGAAAAAATTCTTTTTGTAGTAACGTTTATTGGAGTTTAATACAAAATGAAGGGCGCGTGTTATTTTATAAAATCTTTAGTTTGCAAAGTTTTGCAGTACAACTAATATTGTTTTTATACAACCGCGCCTCAGCGGTGATTTCAGGTAGCGCGTCCCGAGCTAGGCGCATATTAACCTCAGCAGTAATCCGAGGCGCGCCCGCTTCCACAGTATCCGTTTTGGCCCCAAAATGGCCGATTAAAACCAATATGGAAGTCACGTGCAGTTCCTCGAGTGGCCGGTGCGGAAGAAGTGGTGGCGTTGTGATCGCCTCTAGCTCGGTTCTCGAGTACGGGCTCGAGCGCTCTGTGGTGTGTGTCTCTCCTACTCGTCCGTCGTTTTTAGCGCTTTTAACCCCTAAACATGTTCAACCAACTAGCCCAAATCCAAACCCTTCGGTGCCATTCTTTCTGAGCAGTCTCTATTGGCGAATTCCACAGGGCGTTTCGGAGCGCGCCGGGATCAGTTGACCAGATCCGGACTGGCGCACACGATCCGAACGGGGTCGCGCCGCCTACGGATCCCCAGTGAACATGACCACTGTTCCGGGATCGGCGGATGCCTTCCCGTCATTCGACTGCCCGGGAATCCCCTTTCCGCGGCCGTCGCGGTCGTTTCGAAGACGTTTTCGCAATCGAGGCGCTAACACGTGTTCGACGCATGAGCGGCAGAAATGGCTCAGCAAAGATTGCCGGAATGCTCGTAGCGTGGCAAATACCTTCTCTTCTTCTTCCTGGAAAACGAACTGGCTGTCGAGCCAAGGGGTAAGCAAGCGGCCATTAAGAATTCTTCTGATGTCGAGACAATCTAGGATCCCAGCCCGCGACGTGCTTCTTCTTCTGAGGCTAGATGGGCGAGACCAGGCGAGATGCCCTACGAGAAAGGAAGTCACATGTTTGCGCCAAGGGCTGGCCTGGCTGGCTTCCGGTTGAATTTCCCGAAATCGTCGGAGCGACTTTTCTCGGATCCAGATCGAGATCTGGAGCGGGAGCTAATCTAAAACGACCAGTGAAACACGTCGGTCTCGATCCCGATCGCCCTAGTGAAATAGACTCGCTCCAGATAAGTCGATCCCGGCGCGCTCCAAAACGACCAGTGGAATTAGCCATATGGCAGTTTCCCAACTGAGTGGCTCTAGCAACGTTGGCTGGTTGGCTACACCTTCGGACGCTCCTCCCAACGCCATCTATCCATACGCGCGCTAAACACACACCGCAACTTGACTCGGTCGTCTGCGTCACCGTCCGCCGTTGGCCCTTGCAAGGTTTTCGGCCCTATTTTTTTACAGAAAGAGAGCTGCTTTGTAAATTTACAAGAAAAAACCGACCTCTGAAATACATCTTTGACGGAAAGTTTAGACTGCTACGTGCAGGCACCGACTTTTATGGCTCATTTGAGATCGAGCCTGGTGACTTGGATCACCCTATTGTTAAAAGGGTATTGTTACGGAATATGAACTGTTTCTTGCAAGTTTATATTGAGTTTTGTTGATTAATTGATATATTGAAAATGCTTTTATTGACGTATGACTTGTACGACCGCCATTATTCTCTGAAGGCATCAGAACGGAAGGGGTTAGGTGCTCTCTTTACCTAGAGGTTTTAAACGTGAAAAGAAACCAACCAAGATAATTGAGCTCATCACCCATGGCATGAAACGCTGAGGTTTACGTTGAAGGGGGAAGTATTAAACATTATTCATGTAAAGGGAGCACAATGGGTTAGAGCTTTAATCATCATCGAACTACTGAGTGAGACACACAAAGACTAGTAGATGGCGGAA